CTATCTTCTATGCTTTTAATTATTTTTCTATTCTTTCTTTTATTCTTGTAATCACTATTTTATGTTTCTATTTATGCTTATACGTTTGTATTCATTGTTTTATTCATTTATCTATTCTTTCATGTTTTTATTTATTTATTTATTTATTTATTTATTTATTTATTTATTTATTTATTTATTTATTTATTTATTTATTTATTTATTTATTTATTTATTTATTTATTTATTATTTTTTTATTATTTTTTTATTTATATTTTACTATTATTATTATTATTTTTTTTTTTTATTATTATTTTTTTATTTTTTTTTTTTTTTATTTTTTTTTTTTTTATTTATTCTTCCAGTATTGCTGTATTTTGGCCCCGATAGTACACTATAGTAGTAAGACCTTTCATGGCTAATGTTGATCATAATGGTCATTTTACTTTATGAAATCCTTAGCTATGGTTAATGGATTTATAAAAATGTCATACATGCGAAATACATGAAACAGCGGTGAGAATTATAGATAATAATCCACCCAGTCAAGTTTGAAATACTAGTAAAACATTTTTAGAAGCTCGCCAAATATTACTGAACATTCCTTTTAATTTATTCATAGTACCAATTTGAAGCCTCAAAAATGATTTGTCTTTACCTATCAATCACGTGACCGGTTGAACTTTGCACCTGGATGTACAGAGAAGAACCGAATAATAAATAATAAACAATATATAATTTGCAATAAAACAATTCTTCGATACATACAATTACAAAAGAATACAATTATTCATCTACTACATTTTTAAAGTCTATTCGTTTGTTTTAATAACAGGGGAATGTACGTTTGAAAATGGTACATGTGAATATAATGACAACAGTCGAGGTGAATATAGGTGGGAGAGATGGAGCGGACCGACACCGACTCCAAACACTGGTCCTTCACATGACCATACATGGAGCGGAGAACAACCAGGTAACTCACATGAAGATCGAGTCGATTGAACTGGTGTAAGTCGTTGACCGGACATGCAGACAGACTGCTAGAATGTAGTCTCAATGTTTCGTGTTTTCGTCATCATCTGAATACTCGTAGCATGCTTTTGTAAATTCGATGTAAGCATACCCCGCAACCCCCACAAACTCACGCGTGATTCTACCGACTTATACCGATACATATATATATACCTACCGATTGGATGAACCACTACATCAATAGAAGAAATACAGCAATGGAAGATGTGTTTTGTGTATAAAAGGTTAATTTTAGGAGCCACTAACCGGGCCACTGATCAATTGAACGTAAATTTATACATAGTGTATGAAAGTTTTTTTTTTATATTATATGAACATATTCGAAGAATTATGTATGCGGACGATGACGCGATTTGCTGTTTAATTTGGGAGCTCTCGTCAATTGCATGTCAATATCATTGCAGGTTACTACATGCTGGCAGCATCGACCAAAGGTGGATTCGTCAGTGCCGCAACCTTAGATGGACCGTTAGTGCGCGAATGCCATTCCACCTGTCAAGTCGTCTTTTATTACCATATGTTTGGCTCAGGTACGGTTGTGTTTGTAAAATTCGAAATACGTATATAATAGTACAATGTGCAATGTGAGTAGCATTGACGTGTGTCTCTGTGCCGTTCATAGTAGTGGAAGCTAGCGAGAAGAAACTATAAATACAACCATGTAGAGATTTGCAGTGTTATATCTATATTGTAAGAACAACAAGGTACAAGAAAGAGACACAGACAAAAAGTCGCTGTCCTAAACCATGTCACAAAGAATACTTCGCCCCATTTTCTAAAATAAATATGACAGTGAACCTCGTACAAGTTACTTATTTATGAACACCTACTGAAATAAGATGAACTGCATGAAAAAATATGTACCGGTATATAGTACATGCTATTTTATTTCATCAAGTTTTAAAAAAAATTCGATATATTTTTAAGCTGTTAATAACAAAGAATTGTAATGACTTAACTGTGATTTGTTTTCGAGACATTTTTACTTATTTTCCACTGACATTTTCCTTTTTTACCGTGTTTTCATAATGTTGTTAAGGTTATATAACGACTGTATCAGCAATGTACATGTTTGACTGTTATTGTTAGATAATTCTTGACTGATTCATGTACAGATATTGGCAAGTTGGAAGCTTTCATATTGGAAAATGGTTTGGAAACCAGATTATGGATAATTCAGGAAAACCAAGGCGATGAATGGCACCAGGCTTGGATTCCTATTGGTCGCATATACACAGACTGGCAAGTACGATTCACAAAGCGTCTAATATTTGCAATGTACCGTCCTTTAGCGATGAGCTTCTTCTCTGTCGTCGATTTTAGTTTAAAACCATGCCTGCGTTTAAACGACTTTCCTTACAACCATTTAACTCACAGAAACTAGATGGATTGTATTAAAGTGTGCCGCTGGTTATCATCAATTTTAAGTAGAAATAGAGAAAGCTATTTTGCAAAATATTTATCACTTAATATAGAACAGCAAGTTTTTCTCATGAAATTGGATGCTTCAGATCACATTGTTTTGGCAACTGGGGAATGTGCGGGCGAATCTGTGGCGCATGAGCAGTGTAATCACTTTGATAAATAAATCGCAACGTATATCAATGTTATACGTTTGTATTCTTAGTTATTCTTTAGATGCGATCGTTCATTTGGAGAGGAAGGAGACATAGCAATCGATGATATTATCATGCATAACTGTGCATTGCCAGGTACGTCGTGTATACTAGTATATGCAACTAAGGGTCACTGAGCACTTTATTATGCCCGGAGGTATCATTGTGGCGATCGTGTCTATGCTACCCCCGGACTGCATGGATTTATACATTGTGATATTATAGTGGTAAACTAATACTTATATTTTTTTCTAATTGTAGCCATAATCTAGTGAGATAGAACAAGCCAAATTACAATCGAAAAGTATTTGAAATTACGGTCGTTTTCGTTTATGCTGCTTTTGTGTATGATGTAAACGAAGGGAAATTTTCGGATGTGAATTACGCATAACAAATTCTATTAACACGTGTGAAATGCATGTAGGATGATTGTATACCCTCGCCCTATGCAAAGTATGCACTGATGAATAGTATGGTCACAAGAAGTCTATCTATACTTAACTTCAATTATTCATACAAATTACACAACAAGCATGAAATGCGATATGCGCTGGTTACAGCACCCATGAGTCACACGCGTTTATTACAACGTGTATTTACCCCCCCCCCCCTCTTACATATGTAAATATACACGAAATGGATGCCAAAGCCCCATCGAGAATACATCGACCGCCTAGGAAAAAACAGATATAAAAAAACAGTCAAGGGAGAAAAACATCTGGAAACCTGTACCCGACGCAATGTCAGATGTACTAGGGGTGGGCGTCCGGCGTCATCCATATTAAGAAAACTATATATTTATAAAAATGAAAAATATATCGTGAGTTGTTTGCAACCGAGACTGAACACAATAGAATACTCTTCTCACTATATACTCATGAGCACCTGGCTACTTAGCCACTAACCAATCGGAGCAGGTGTAATGGCACCTGAATAATTTACATACAAATATAGAGCAATTATCTGCTAATCTACGAAACGCAGATAATTTATCATTACTCATAATTCTTTAATCAATCAGTAAAAATGGATTCGAATATAATTAATATTTAAATTAGTAAATTATGAAATAACATTGGGACATGTGATGTAATTTTTGTGTTTTGAGGACAGTTTCTATGGAAAACAATGATGGGACATTATTTCATATTTAAGCAGACAATAATGTACAACATATATTTTGTTCATTCATTCATATGTAAAATTATATATAGTGAAGTCAATTTCCCTGTCACTTATGGATAAATAAATCCTGCATGATTGCATATTTCAGAAATACGTGAGTGCGTTGATGATGAGATCCAATGCGACAGAGGCAGCTGCGTCGCTAGCGATGAGCTCTGTGATTTTGTGGATAACTGTGGAGATGCAACAGACGAATCTGATGAATACTGTGGTAAGTTAACCACTCCTATCACTATATTGTGTTTATTGTTTTTTTTTGAATAATGCATTTTCTGAACAAAAGTACAGAACAAAAAGGTTCTAAGGCGTTAGTATTGTGTGGAAACTGAACTTAACGCCTCCAGTTTCATACTGTTCTTTGCAGTAAGGCACCGTGCCATAGGTATCACAGATGTCACAGTGTCACTCTATTATCTGTGTCATTATTACCCTTGCCAATTTCATCTGGGCCAGTTTTACCGCCATGTTCGCGAACGACGTTAATTTCAGATTGGAAATTGAAAATTGTTTAAACTAATTTTTGTCCACAATACTTGATATATATTTTGTCCTATCCACCGACTCATGATTAATACCCGGGGAAACTGACAAATTTTACATTTCTGAAGCTGGAGTTGTCAACAAGCCCAAACCTACTTAACATATTTTATCTCGATAGGCAGCTATACCAGGTGTACTTTTGAGTTCGGTGTGTGTGGATTTCGACAGGATCATACAGACGATTGGGATTGGGACCTAGAAAATGGAAGATCTGCGTCTGTCTTAGAGACTGGTCCCAGTCGAGACCATACAGTGAACACAGCGGCAGGTCATTACGTCTTACTTAACACACGGCTTCCAAAACGAGCCAATGAACAAGCGCGTCTTATCAGTGGAACGTTTTCGCCCGGAAATTGCAAGGTATACATCCCTACTCAAGTTTGATAGTATGTTCATATTGTTTAATCAAGTTGTTAGATTTTGATAAAAAAAATGATTTATTGCAGATTGCTTTAAATGCCGAGATAAGCAGCGAACGTAATAGGTTAAACATAGCAGATAATAGATCATTACATTCGATTCCATGGAAACAATATTGATCTAAGTGTTTATTGGGCCATTATAAACATAGGAACACTGAATATCTGAACCCTGACATTTGACCCATGACTCCTGACCTCAGATGACTGATTTATTTTATCCTGTTTCCATAGCTATTGTTTCATTACCATATGTATGGATCAAGCTGTGGGTCCCTAGTCCTGTACACCAGAACAGAAATAGGTGTACCCATGAAGAACATATGGTGGGAGGATGAACCATATGGCGACGTCTGGGTCAGCATCGAACTGGACCTTTCAGAAGTGAAAGTCTTTGAGGTAATGTATTGTAGATTTTTCTATGATAATGCCGAATTAATTTGAAAAAGCAACATATATTACTGAACACCTAAATGTGTTTATTTTATTAGATTGTCTTTGAAGCAACAGTCGGAGACGGCATCGATGGTGATATCGCTCTTGACGACATATCCATTTCGCCTGAGTGTCCGCCAACAGACGAACAACTACCTATCGTGACCCCTGAACCCGTTACTAGGATGCCGACTCCATGTACTGAGAGTGAGTTTTACTGCAATGATGGCGGTCAGCCCGAATGTATTTCCATACAACAGAAGTGTGATTTCAAAAGCGACTGCACAAGCGGAAGTGACGAAAGCATATGTGGTACGTATAATTTTACCTGCACGTCCTGTGATATTTGGCGTGTATAGTGAATGACATTGCCCAGTGGTTCTCGTACTACCGAATAGCGTTTGTTTCATGAAGACGTTCGATTTGGGGAAAAAAATGAGTAAACAAAAACTAAAAAAATCACAACATATTTATAACTGCTGTGGCGCTGTGATAATTCTCCAGTACTTCCATACGTTGTCTTTATTTGATCTGTTTCACGGCTTGTATCAGATTCTATGATTACGTCAGATCGACTGTAAGTAATACTATCTTGTAATGTTGACAAACAAAAAGAATCCAATGATAACTGCCATATTTGCAAATTTGTCATTTTTAGCCATTAATTACAATAAGTAAGATATGTAATACAGCATACTGACAATCTTCTTACATCGAACACATCCAAACATGATATTCCTTATCAGGCGTTTTTTTTTTAGAAATTCGATTATGTTCTAACATGCACACATTCACCCCAAGGTACGTGTGATTTCGAGACTTCGCAATGTGGTTGGATTGATACCAGTTCTGGGATATACACTTGGGACAGAATGCAAGTAGGCCAGTCTTCTTCCGAACATGCGCCTGCAACAGATGGGCTTGGTAGAAACGACGGTAAGTAATTGATAACTCGTGTTGGGGATTACCCACGTGTTGAGGATTAGTGAGAGTCGTGACTCCACGTACGGTTAGAATGCGTGTGCCAGAACTCAATACCGATGATATTTTCGTGTTAACGATGAGAACCCACATATTCAAAAACCGGCCAAATAGTATAGGAAATAAAAGTAGCTCAGAAGTTGTATATCACTATCCCAAAGGTTACTACATGGTTGTAGAAGGCGATGACTCACGTTTATATATCGGCGCCTACCTGGAGACAGACGTGACTGGTAGGATCGGTAGATGCTGTGTTGCTAGCTTCTATTACCACATGGATGGGCAGGATTCTGGGGCAATGGCATTCTATTTGCAGGATCCAAACGACAATCTTAACTTAGCGCTGCTGTGGACAAAACAGGGCGATCAAGGATCTAGGTGGAAACGTGCAGAGGTGTTTGTTGGATCACACGGGTCGGGATGGCGGGTAGGATATTTGTTCATTATGTATAACATATGATGAGGATGAGGCCATATTGCATCAAATTTATTCTGTGAAGTGAATTTGAACTACTAGGCTCACATATGGTTGTTCTGTGTGTTTTTTATATAGTTTGACGTCGAGGCATATCCCTTATTAGGCACGTTAACTGGAGACTATGTAGACATTGCCATTGATGAAATTGTGTTTATAGACTGCCATCCGGATCAAACCAAGGAGAACGTTTACGGTAAGGAGCGTACTGGTTTCAATGTACCTTAACATTTGTAAAACTAGAGCGTATGGCAATCGCTGCACCCAACATTGAATAAATCATTGCTCTTATTCAAAAATATAAGATGCTGCTCTATATAAAATCATCTCCGTAAAGTTTGGCACAATCGTCGGTATTTCATCAAACGGTCATTCACTACTTCCCACTAAAACCTGACTATCGTCTTGAACGTCTGTAATAGGGCGTGCTATAATTACGACTTACACAGAATTCATTTCGAAATCTCACATATAAATTTGTGAATTATAAATCGCTTATAAATCTTTGCAACTTATTCAAAGTTGCTATCGATTATTAATTTACGGGAGAAAATGTGTGTCATTGTCCCAGACATCAGCTGTGACTTTGAAGAAGACTTCTGTGGCTGGCTGCAGGTGGCGTCAGATACCGACGATGATAGTTTTGACTGGACAAGAATGTCAGGGCCAACGGAATCGAGAGCCACGGGGCCCGATCACGACCACACTAAAGGCAAAGACGGGGAAGGTCAGTTCTGTTTAATATGCTGACAAATAGGGGAACTCTCATAACTCGATAGTTATATAACTTATCAATTACATTATTTGAGTGTTTGCAGAATGTTTAGTGTTGTATTTTGTAAATTATCCTAAATCTACATATGCGCTGTTATATTTGTATTGCTTTATTATTTCCATTGTTTAAACGGCCTTTGAGTTTTAGCGCGGCGTCCTTCTATGTCATAACATTCATCGTGTTTACAATCTTGATACATGTAATACGCAACTTAATATTTAAATGTAGATTGTCATTTGCATGTATAATGTACATGTACAATTCAAAATGCTTTCATATATTCATGGTTGTCATAGCAATGTGTATACTTGGTTGATAATTTATTACCATAGCGCATATCACAGACTACTATAAAAAATCTAATAATAATAATACCTGTTTCATCCAATTAAAACAAGGATATTACTTATACACCGAGGCGACCAAAGATTTCGAGAAAACAGCGCGACTGACCGTCTATCCCCAGCCTCCCACGTCGATGTCCTGTATATCATTCTATTATCACATGTATGGTAGCACTGTTGGCTCACTCACGATATACCAACAACGTCTGGGTTTCCCCGAGACCAGTATTTGGACTCGTAGTGGTACGTGGGGTAATGAGTGGCATTATGCTCAGAAAACAGTCTCTCATGACGATAATCAGTACCAGGTAAACAAATTACTAATCTAAGTTATGTTAATTTTGTTCGTATTTGCAGTTACGAGGTGAGTATCACTTTTAAATTTTTGACTGATGACTATTATTACACACAATGCATTTCGTACATGCGTGAAGTTGAATTATCTGTTGTTTTATCAAATGTCACTAGGGGAGACCTTTTTTTTAAAACTCGTCAACTGGAGGTGCATATTTAAGCAAATCAAAGTATTTTTGCAAATCAGTATAACCTATAGTCTTTACCGCACCATGACATAGATTTATCACAATAGCGATGGATGTACTGACTGACGATATGGGGCCAATGAAGACTTATACATACAATTAAATACAATGTTTCTATCAGGACGATGGCCAACGAACTTCCTTGAGTCTGGTTAATCAAATGATCCGAATTGACATGTCACATGATTCAAAACGACAATTCTTCAAAATACCAGGATAAGTTTCACCACCAATAAATCAAATCTACGATAGTGAGTTCACCTTCACTCAGTCACGAATGACCCCCGGACACCAGACACCTTCCTACATAAAAGGCGGGTAATATGCCATCCGGTGTTTAACATATTGCCTACATGGATCTTTTCATTGCCTTTACATTTCTTGTGTTATGACCAATTGGCATGGTTTAAGCCTGACACCAAAGACGTCACAGTGCGCTGAAACTCTATCTCTTTTGTTAGATCCACATAGAAGGGGTGACGGGTCATGCTTGGGCCAGTGACATTGCAATAGATGATATTAAATATGAAGACGGCCAGTGTCCAACCACAGGTATGTATAAATCAAATATACATGGATATATCCTCTTACGAATAAGTATAAAAAATGTATTTAAAACGTCAACGAAAATCCTTTTTATTACTATTTTAATCAGTCGTGTGCGATTTTGAGATTGACTTCTGCGACTGGGTGAACGGCGAGAATGATGACATGGACTGGAGAAGGGGGAACGACGGAACGCCCTCTAGTGGCACTGGTCCTGAGAATGACCATACGACGGGAACATCAGATGGTTACTTTTCTTACATTGAAACTTCAAAGCCACGGCGGGCCGGTGATAGGGCACATCTTCTGAGTCCCGTCTATCCAGGTGGCACATCAGAGTGTTTGGAATTCTGGTACCACATGAGCGGAGAAGACATCGGCTCGCTCAGGGTATTCACACAAGATGTGGCATCCAAAGAACAAGTCGGAGAGCAGTGGGAAAAATCGAGTAAGCTAAGTTAACTACTAGGTAGTTTATGCCACAACTATGTAAAATTGGCATTTTAAGATAATAACGTCTTTAACATCGATCTCTATGCAATATGACGTAATGTGAAATATATGTCATTTGCGCATATATAAAAAGTATGTGATAGTTTATCAGACGATCTCTATCGGCTAGTAGCCTTTTCCGCATGGAAAATAACGAAAAAGATTTACGGTCAGTGACTGACATTTCTATGTGTCGAGATTATGAGACCCAAACAAAGAATAAATATTATAATAGCATTCATTTCAAAGTAACGCTTTTACACAACTTGAGAAAAGCAGATAAATTACATTTTATTCAATTTAGTTTCAGTCAAATAAAAACAAAACATAAAGTTCTCATGGTATTATTTAGATACGATCGGATCAGTGTTGTTGTAAAACCGTTTATTTTCACTGACATTTAATTTCACTATTTTGATGTTTTGAGCATATTCACTGTGTTTAAATTTCACGAATTTGTCAAGGAAACAGCGAGTTTTATTGTTATCGTACATGTTCACAAAGATTTAATTTAGCGGAGGTTGCGTATCAGCGGAGAATAGCAAAATTAAAACCCGGTGAATAATTAATGCATTTACAGTATACTACAATGATCTAGGAATGTTTTGATCACGTACTGTGCCATACTGCCCATAGACAACACAAGTTTATCTCCTCTACATAGTCCCCCCAAACGCATGACGATTCGTATCATCTGGATTACGCATAGCTTCTCTGCGATTTACGGTCCGTATATCTTAAGCGTAGCTTGGACCCCCCCCCCCTTCAATACATTTTGCTGGACAGGAAGTAATTATATGAAATTATAATACGGTAACCAGATATTTTGTTCGTACGCAGCTCACCAAGGTTCGATCTGGCGTTACGCTCATTACAGTGCGTACAGTGACGAAGATTACCGAATTGTGATAGAAGGAACAAAGGGGGAAGATACGAAAGGTGACATTGCGATTGATGACCTACGCGCAGTGGAAGGGGCGTGTGGACTACCAGGTAATCACGTTTAGTACCGTTGACATGTGTTACCCGTAACGATTTGGGTCTGGCTGTAGGCCACCATATGTTACAAAAAAATAGTCAGCTGTAAATAATTGTCATTTAAATTACGATTACATTAATTGATTGATTATGCTACTCGTCCAACTACGTTGAGTTCCATTCAGCAAGCATTAGATCCAGTATAGTGTGCGACATCCAGACGATTACCATGTGTGCTCGTAGAAAATATGTCATAATATGTCGACAATTTAAATCTTCTTCTTGATATAAAATCGCAATAAAACAGCATGATGTGATTAGGTATAAATTAACAGTGTTGCCATGGCAACAAACATATCAGTATGCCCTTGATGGAATAATGATGCAATAATGAAAATATTCCACACTGTGTCTTTAAATATTAATTTCAATTTTAAGAATGTATTATGTGTTATACATTTATCTAGGTTATTGCAATTTTGATAACGGAATGTGTGGATGGACAAATAACATGGACGATGATGACTTTGACTGGTTGCGCAATTATGGTACAACGCTTGCCAGTGACACTGGACCGTCATATGACCACACAACTGCCACATACAAAGGTATTCACACATTAAAGTTTTCTTCCCGTCTAACAGTACAATGCGTTCAGATGTAACATCGTTCAGGGTGAATTATTAACTTCACTAAATACTGTTCTCATCATTTGCGTTACAGGTTTTTATATGTACACTGAGTCGAGCATACCTGTGGTCGAGGGTGACATATCGTGGCTGATAAGCGAACACTTCGAAGCAACCGACCAATCCTGTTTTATTTTCTATTACCACATGTACGGTGATGGTAAGCATGACATTCCATGGGGGTCGTGGTGACTAAAATCAGAAACACACTATTTTGAGTATATCAAAATAGTAAAAACACAATTCTGCATGAAGGGGTGCACATAAACTGTATACATTGCCTTCGGAGAGGAAAATTCCTTGTACCCAAATTAAGCTTCAAACTAATTGTGATCGTACATACTTGAAAATCTGAATAGTAGTTTAATACACTGTACAGCGGCTTGGCAATTAGGCGCACCCTAGTTTTATTATACGATAATTTTGATAGCATGTCGCTAAGTATGTCCCAGTGTTCTTTCTGGGAGAAGCGTCAACGGTGTGTAAGGTAATGTCATCACAACATTTGGTACGCGAACAATTCCGGTTCCGGTTGTCGGTTATCGGGATGAGTGAAATCCAGGTCAGAGTATTTTGATTTTTGAGATGTTTTTATGCCACTGATGTCAAAATGTGTGAAATGTTGTGGTTACAAAACTGTAGTCAATTTGTGTGTACGTGGTGCTGTGAAAGTTCAATGTTAATAATCACATGACAAGAATTGGATCGATTACTTGTCAATAACTATGCAAAGGCATGAGCCATTGGGCTCAATGAAAACATCTGTATGTTTGATATCGGAACAACACTCTTGTCAATGGTTATGTATTGTGTAAAGTGACAATGAATTGTGTTCTTTTATACCCAGATAATCAAATACAGGACAGTCTCCCAATGCGAAACCATATTGCGTATATTCGTTAAGATTCCCTTTTATAAAATTTCATTTTAACGGTCGAGAAAATAATATTCCACTCCCCATCGAAGATAAAGTCCTGTATTTTCTTAATTTACTTTCAGAAATGGGTAGTATGGTTATTTATTTAATGAAAGCTGAGGACATTTCTAGTAAGTCTGACATTTGGAGAAGAGACGGTAATGTCGGAGATGAATGGAACGAAGCCAGGGTAGAAATAGTTAGCTCGTATGAATACCAGCTGATTATCGAGGGAGTAATTGGCTCTGGACGGCAGAGTAATATGGCTATAGATGACACTTTGCTATACAATGGCTCATGTGCAGGTAGGTGTTGTCTTACATTCGCAGCCAAACAAATTTTATGTAAGTTGTAAATAGCTACTATTAAAACAAAGAATCGAATGTAAATTTTGCAATATAGTTTTATTTGAGGCTTGTTTCCAAAACCTAAATAAAAAATATATGATCATCAAACTAACTTTCGCGGTTTTGTTTTGCTTTTAGACTACGTGTCGCCAGTCTATCCAGATCCCCCACAAGAGCAGGACAATGATTCCAGCAGTAAGTACCTACCAACCGAATATAATTTGCGATACATATGATACTTCGAAGATGTCGTGAATTTATGTATCTACCATTCAAAGAAACGCACCCTAACTATTGTCATTTCGTTTTAGGTGTCGGAGCTATCGTGTTTGCCAGCATCATTTTGGTGGCCGTGGTGATAACAGTGTTTTGTGGTTTGTGGTATTATTATAGAAGACGAGAACAAAAATCTGTCATTCCGTCATTTATTCAAAATATCAGGTATGAATTACTATTGTTGTTTTTTTAAATTAATGTGACGATTCGTGCAAACTTTTACTGTTTTAAGACGTTTTTAAGACTTTTTTTTTATTCCATTTCAGCTTTGGTAAATCGAATGCTGGGGTGAGTATATTTTTTATTCGAATGAACATTTTAGATCAATGATACATACCTTCGCCCCTCCCCCAAAAATATTTTTCCATCATAACGTATACATAATTATCTTCCAGATGTCAACGGACAGAGATACAACGGTTTTGTTCTCGGTACGTTTCATCATAGTGTGTTAAACATTTATTGCATTCGATATATTTAGCCTTATAATGTTGTTTCCATTATAAACGGCCACTCACCTGACATGCTAATGCTGATTCCATTCGTGATATTTATATATATTTTTTTTTCATTCCAATTGCTTTCATTTCGATAATTAAGAAATTAATATTTTCTCTTGTATATGACTTGGATTGTACGTTTACAGCATTGGTCACTGATATGTGGCAAAATGGATGTAGGGTTAACTAACCAGTCACGCTTCAATATCATTTGTGTATGGATTCTGTTCTAGTCACGAAAAAACTAGGTTAATAATTATAATTATAATAATAATTCGGTTGCAATTGAAATAATGGCGTTTTGTAACTGCTTGGTCACGAATATACTTGAAACTAATTGCTCGTTGTGACGTTATGGTAAACTAGTGTTAATCAACCTTCGAACAACATTAAAAAAGTTACTGCAACTATCAGTGGTAAATAATATTTAGATATTTCAAACATCATTTAAAATTAACCCAATTACTCATTTAAGTTTAATTTATAATATCACTTGACGTTCTAGATGCCTACCTATGACATATGCTTTGCGATTCAACAATTAAAGACAAAAAATACTTTGACATCCCACGGTATCATTGCTGGCATAATACTTGGTATAGGTTAAACGGCTTCATAGCGTTCATATACAAATTATGTGATACAATTTATTGCCATGTATAAATATATATGTACCTCTTTTCACAGAATGATGACATAAAGATCTAGTTCTTTGATGGCATGTTTAGGTGCTAATAACGTCACTTCCGGGCAGCCAAGATATACAAGCCTATTTATTATATATACCTTTATCGTTGTTACCGAGGTTATTGGGGAATTTATATTGTTTGACTATTTTTTTTCTCTAAAATAAAACCACACCTCTTTTTCTGAACGGTCTGGATCCCGTGATTTCTTAATATTTCAGTGAAGTACAGTGTAATTGTATATCAGTGACGACCTATCGAGGTTATAACAGTGAATCTTCTCATGAATAAAACATAAATGTATTAAATAATGATAACTGAACATTATATTTGACAAAGTGTTACATAAATTAATAGTTGGTTTTATCTGTTTCGAGAATTTTGCTACTGAATCTCTCAATCAACCAAAGCGTTGATCGACATAATATCGCCGACAATTTTTCTACATTTAATTGAATGCATATTATCTGATTTTGTGAACCACAAAACACATAAAATGAGTTTGGATGATGCTATTTCTCCAACTTAAGGTAGAAGCCTACTCATATTTTTTGAGAAATTTGTTCATAAATCACATGACAATGTTCATTGGTTTATTATGTAAAATCATGGAGCTATTGTCCCATGGCACCATAAAATAGCATTCTATTGTGTGTTACAGTGACGTATTTTGAGAAACTTGTCCTAATCTTTTTCAAAAATAGCTATTTTTAGAACAATTCCATAGAGCGCAATTTTAAACAAAAATTGCATTTTTCAACACTTTTTAAAACCCAGATTTTTGAAAAAATTCTGGAAAACAAAACGAAGGCCATTATTAACAATATATTATTTTTGCAGCATGTCACCAGCCTACAATTTGAGAGATGGCATAATATCTCTGCCATGGGAACCTATAGTAAAAGCACTATAATACTGCCAAAATGGACGCTATCCACTAAAATACAACCATGATTTTCTCGTAAATTAACCTGGTGACCCACATTTTTTTCAAAGTTAATATTCTTATATTACCCGGAAGTAAATATATTAAAAAAATGAATAAATTCTGGGTTTTTGAAATCATGAGTAGGCATCTACCTTAAGCAAGTATTCTTTTTTTTACATTTTCAAACTGATTAGTATGAATGTTTGACACATGGTACGTACACCGCAAGTCATGTTGTCTTTATCGCATTATGGGAATGTTTGAAAAAGAGTACTGCGACAACTAGCCTGAATTCTATAATAACACGACAGATTTTCAGAAACCCATTGAACAGTCAAATATGCAAATGATGAAGCAGGTTCAAAATGAGTACGTAAATGTAGGTTTCTGATCACTCGGAACAAACATCAAATTCTTTAATTTTGTAATGATATTCCGTCTGTTCCAGGTACTTTAAACTATCCTAAGTCGCGTAATTATTGTTTTTCCGACGCTTGTAAATAATATTTCCCGCCATCGTGTCGTTTTACGAAATTACATCTAAGTATGCAAATGTATTTGTGAATGTATTCTGATGTTTGTATCCACTATATTCACGAAGCCAAGTCTGACTGAATATTAAAATATCACCACACAAGTGCTATACTATACTTGGTAGTTGCGAAAAAAAACCAGTCAATTGTGAAATTTTTAATTACATTCATAATTTAATTCAGATAAACTTTTTTAAAATACGTAGAAAATGGTTTGTATTTTTGCATGTAAAGAAATGTATTATTTACGATATTCGTATTTGATAAAGTACAATGAATACCAAACCCCAACATATCAAATAACGGTGTTAAACCGTACCACGTCCCAGACCATTTTATATATATCATCTAAAGTACATTTTATTGATTTTTTCTTATTTTGTTTGAGCAATCTTGCACTGTAAATATGCCATATCAGTTTTGATAATACATAATGTTACTATTACTACGTACTGAAAATGTAAATTGAGTAAAATTAACTTTTTTATTATGTTAATAAAACGTATTAATTACAAGTTCTGCTATTTGTGTCAATGTGTCTGTTCGATCGAATATCACATGATGTTGTATTTACCTCGGGTAAATGTGATGTAAATTTCTAGACTAGATTTCAAGACTAGAGAAGAATGATACCAGTCTCGAATCTGTCTGTTGAATTCATAGCCAATCGCGGCCGCCATCATGTGGGGATCGAGAATAATTAAGACTAAATATCGCCTAACGCACCCTTCACGTGATTTGAGCGCGTTGAACATCAGTAAAAGAAATAACAATACGCGCCCATGTACTCCTTCTGTATTAATTCTAATTATAATATTGCAAATAATCAGTGTGTATCTGTTGAACATGAAGTCCATCGTCTATACGGATCTGTGGGTGAGTAATCATATCCAAGTAGTTGTCATTATGATCAATGTTACATATACACCCTTTGACCCCTCTGAGTCTCCGATCATTTCAACATGGTTTACACGCCCTCGACGCACCAAGCGCAACCCGGGGACATTTCACCATATATTTTAATTGCTCTTTCAAATAAGTTTGAATTATCTGTATCGACCCGACAATCAAAGACATCCTCTGATTTTGCTCCTATTCTAAGCATGGCATATTTTATGTCCCAGAATTTTGGCTGAGCCCCGGAGATTTAAGCGTCTTTTCGAACGCATATGGTTTCTCCACGGCGAGATGCGGAATTGGACAGTTTATCACAAAAAACGGCACCATACGTTGTAAAAATGTGAGAATAACCCGTGATAGGGCTACAAGTAAATTTTGGAGGTTAGGTAAATTTTAAAACCACACAATTTGTCTGGCCGAGTCATTGTGGGGGACACAGACCTTATAAAAAAATATGGGTTTCACCAACAGAAATGTTGGGCGGCAAGATGGTAAAAACAAGTATATTACTTTGTTCTTCAGTTTTCAGCTGGAATTTTTCAGGATGAAATTTGTGCCATTTTTTAAAAAAAATATTTGAAATTGTCCCTGCATCAATTGACACAAATCTACCCCGTAAATGTAATGATCAAACCCTGTTAGAAGAAATATCGCCGCTCGTATCTATGTGATGCGAACATCAAAACGGTCAAAAGGGTTAACGGGTGTCTCGTGATATGTAATATCGAATATTCGTGGTTTATGTTTGGTGGCTGTCAATTGTCACGTCTTTTATTGCTTGGCTAATGCATCCATGTAAATGTAACCACTATTTGTTTATGTCAAAAGGGACAACGGTGGCGTATTCGCGTTTACATTGATAAAATCATAAACACTCAAAAGGATGAAAAAGTATGTTAAGTGATAAGTTATAACGATAATTCTTGATCATTAGGCGCTGGCCGCGATTGGTCACGAATTCTTTTGTGGCAAGCGGTTGTATACTGAATGTGAACATTCGAATAAAAATACATTATGTGGTTGTTTATAGTTGTTTTTTGCCATTTGTTTGCGCTGAAGTTGTGAGTACCATATCACAGGAAGATCAGGTATTTTAAGCACTCTGTAATAGAGAAAATATTACCGTTATCGCCCATTAATCGTTTTAATAACTATATATAGTAATTACGATTTCTAAGCAAACGCATATCACTGAACTGTCATTTGTATAATTAGTAACGAAAAATGAAAAGATTTATTTCACAAATTGTATGGAATTAATACTTACTGTATGCAACACTGTTGTGTCACGAGTGCTTTTCGGCGTTGCTGGCATCTGTGATAGTTGTTTAAAAGAAATATCGGATAACAACATTAATCACGATACTGCCAGTGTCACAGAATATATTATTACGTCATTAAAAAAGACAATTGTATACTTTGTACTTACCTCAATTGATGCCTCGTATCCTGGGTTATCCATCGGTACATGTGCGGGTGCTTTATCTTTTTTGAAGGACACTCTGTTAAGAGGGGAAGGGCATGTGTGTGTTATAAAATTGTGCTCTGTTTGTTAGTTCCCGTCGGACAAATTCCGAAACGAGGCCCCATGTTTTAGGTTCCGTGCGTCTGTCCCACATCATTTCTCAAACATGCCTGGACTGATTTTGCTCACCATTGGTGCATTACTATGTAGTGTTAGATTTGTATACGCCGATTAGTTTTACTTTCGTTTAACATTTAACCGACTGGTAGCCATTTACGTGGAAAATTAACATTTGAACATGTGATTAGCCGTTTCTCGGGCAAGCCTGAACCGATTTCATTCAAACTTAATATTGTTATCACTCACGATGGGAGACTAATGCACGCGTATGCATGCATTTGCTTTGCGGTGTGGTTCAAAATGGCCAAATGTCGGCTATGTTGTTTTTATTTCCGCTTGTCTTCACCCATATTTTTTTAGATATGCGTCGGCTGATTGTGCTCAACGTAAAGACAAGACATAATGTTCCTGTTCTATAACTACAATTTTATATAATTATGATATTCAAACTCGTGAAACGTATGTTTCGAAAGACGTGTTGTAGCTTTCCCATAAATGAAACCATAATTAAATACAGATTTCACCCTATATTCAATAGAAAAATAAAGTTTTAAGAATTTATGGGTGATAGTTATTTAATTTCGAAAGAACAGGGGGGTGAATTACATTTTCAATTTTGACCCTGACTCGGCTACTAAAATATTAGTTGTATACTTACGTTTTAATGGAGGTGAATGTTCTAGATACAGATTCAGGAACAAGAGCTTTGTTTTCCTTCTTACGGTAATAATACCAGACTCCAGCAAGAATACCAATAATAAGTATGACCAGTAGAATACAAGTAAATATAATAGCACCCGTATCTGTACACGAATAACAAATATTCAATGTATTGGTTTATTTATACAAATTGTGTTCCGGGTTGATAGAAACATGCCAATTTAGATTGAAGTTATCATACTTCTTGAATATTCTTGTCATATGCGCTAAATATGCTCGTGGTTTAGGTGAACAGGTGGCTTTGCGAGAAAAAGTTGTTTCTCATCTCCAGCATGTACAATGTACTGTAAAAGGGATAATTATTTTAATTTTGCTTTTTTCGCTGACTGGAAAATGTGCTAAATAAACATCCAGTGAATGTGTAAAATTTAGCATAAAACACATTATCTAAATGATAAAACCCACTGAATATTCCTAAATGGTAAATCAGCAAAATTTAAACCCAGTGAAAATTAGTCATTTTACAGTAACTAATCGCGCCAGAAAATGTTAACTGTAATACAACCTACGACAGAATAGCGTGATGCAATTGTAAAGCCCTGTCACAGAGATGGTGGGAAATAACAAGACACACTGATAGTGTTACTAACTTATGTATGCAGGTTCGGCGCGTAATGCAATGCACACGATAAACTGTTCACGATTCCTGGCAGGTGATTTTATTTCAAAACTAGAAATACAATCACATCAACTATACCCATTGAAGGGCGACCAACACATATTCGAGTCCATAGTACGACAGTTGCCATGTACTTATTATCTAGAAGTTTAAAATTGCAATTGAAACCGTCACGGTATCCCTAACATAAACTACTTACTTGATGATGAGTATGATGGGTATGCTGGTGGCACATAGTCTGAAATTTGAAAAAAAAAATGTACTTTTTATCCTGTATTGTGCCACAAAAGACTGCAAGTAGTGCATCCTGGGTATGCTTTTGTGTGTGTGTGTATATTTGTAATTCAACTGACGGCAGTCAAGTCAATAGCTCTAATAAGGTAGTATTTTCACTGCGATTATTTGCAGCAAAACAAGTGTGTGGTGATATATGGTAAGGATGCATCAATGACTAAGAAGTGACGATGGTTAGGATACATCAATGACTAAGAAGTGACGATGGTTAGGATGCATCAATGCCTAAGAAATAACGATGGTCAGTGTGCATCAATGACTAAGAAGTGACGATGGTTATGATGCATCAATAACTAAGAAAGGACGATGGTTAGGATGCATCAATGACTAAGAAATGACGATGGTTAGGGTGCATCAATGACTAAGAAATAACGATGGTTAGTGTGCATCAATGACTAAGAAAGGGCGATGGTTGGGATGCATCAATGACTAAGAAGTGACGATGGTTAGTGTGCATGAATAACTAAGAAAGGACGATGGTTAGGATACATCAATAACTAAGAAGTGACGATGGTTAGGATGCATCAATGACTAAGAAGTGACGATGGTTAGTATGCATCAATGACTATCAAAAGACGATGGTTAGGTTGCATCAATGACTAAGAAGTGACGATGGTTAGTATGCATCAATGACTAAGAAGTGATGATGTTTAGGGTGCATCAATGACTAAGAAATAACGATGGCTAGTGTGCATCAATGACTAAGAAAGGGCGATGGTTGGGATGCATCAATGACTAAGAAGTGACGATAGTTATGATGCATCAATAACTAAGAAAGGACGATGGTTAGGATGCATCAATAACTAAGAAGTGACAATGGTTAAGATGCATCAATGACTAAGAAGTGACGATGGTTAGGTTGCATCAATGACTAAGAAGTGACGATGGTTGGGATGCATCAATAACTAAGAAGTGACGATGGTTAGGATGCATCAATGACAAAGAAGTGACGATGGTTAGTATGCATCAATGACTATCAAGTGACGATGGTTAGGTTGCATCAATGACTAAGAAGTGACGATGGTTAGTATGCATCAATGACTATCAAGTGACGATGGTTAGGGTCTTCAACTGTCAGCTAAGAAGAAAAGGATTGTTGACATCACTCGGCCAACTTACGTAATTGAGAGTTTCCAACGGTTTAGCATTCAACAATAAGCAACCGTCAATCTTTGCGCATACGTTAAATAATATACGATTTATTTATTTATTATTTTAATTAACAATTCACACATTTCAGACTGGTTGATCGAGTTATTATTTTGACAATATATCGCCCAGGTAACAAAAGATAAAAGCTCCCCACTACCGAATTGCGTAAAACTCAAGAGTGATTAAACCCAATGAGTCATTAAATGCATGTTCACATGACAAATTCAATGTCTATGTTGCGTTGATAATGAGTTGTTGAGTGATATGCAAATACAATGTCAAGCGAACAAAGAAATTGTTTCTTTCAAAGAACTGGCTAGTGTACGTTTGAGCATATACCTTAAAAGACATGGTTTGATCTAATTCTGCTAGTGTGCGTCACTTCGTATTACGTGTTTTTGTTTTGTTAGTTGCTGTTGAATATGGCGATCTTTGCGTTCAATTCAGTGAACGCATGCGTACTTTTACATTTCCAGACATTTATTGCGTTCTATTATGCCATTGTTTAAATAAGTCAGTAATTACATTAATTACACAAATACACGTGGGCGATTTTTAGTTTGATGAAGGTTGGCACAAACTGACAGCACATTAACAGTACTTGCCATCACAGGTTCCGTAAAACATTTCGGTATCATCAATCGCCATGTTGCTTTTATCGCCACTTCCTCTGACGCCTTCAATGATTAATTGGAACTCGTATTGACTTTTTATCGGCAATCGCACTTCCTTCCAGTCATCCCCTTGATCTCCACTCTTACTCCATATTTCTTCTTTCGTCTCTGGTAATTCTGGCCATATTATATAAACTCTCAATACTCCCATGTCTACAAAAAATAATTGCATTATTATTAATATAATTATAACAACGTTTGCTACTGTTATACGATTTATCTATAATGTATTCATAATTCACACTGTAAATGATTCAAAGTGAATAGCATTACCTGCGCCTTTCATGTGGTAGTAGAAAACGAAGCAACCCTCCTCGTCCACCGGATCGAAATGTTCACTAATCAGCCACGCCGACCAACCTTGGGTCACTGGGCTGCTAGACTCCGTGTACATGTAATATCCTGTTACGAATAAAATAAAATCAAAGTAATTTTTATTGAAATTTCATTTCAAGTGGTTGGGATATTGATGGATAAGCTGAAAATGACTAATCATTATGTTAATTTGATCATTATCATGCACGGATCTCAACCAAAAACTAATCAGGTCTGAGCATTATCCGAGCATTATCCGAGCTTATATATGCATCATTGAAAAGATATAAAATGGACTAATTAATTAATCAATTAAAATGCAAATTATTATGCACGGATTTTAACCAAAAAAGAATCAGGTCTATGCATTATCCCAGAGCATTTATGTACCAAGTTTTATTGAAATTTGTTAATAGCTTCGGGTTTTGCTATACCGCGCACGATAGAAAATCGGGTATTACCTTTATCGGAGGCTGTTGTGTGGTCCCTGTCTGGTCCAGTTCCGTCAGTAGGTGTGTCTTTATTATCACGCTGCCAATCAAATTCGTCATTGGATCGGGCATTCGTCCATCCACACATATTGCCGTCATCAAATGTACAGTGTCCTATAACATTAATAAATAAATAAATTAATATCGCCGGTGATATCTTAGAAACGGACCCATCAACTGTGTTTTTAAAGAAACAAGAATGCTAGTGCTCTCTGAGCGTGACAACTAAAAAAAAGTGGACGAATTGCCAAGACTTGTCTAAGAGGGATTTTATCGCAAATCACCGAATTTAAATCCGGTTGCCAAAGGAACAGAAATAGTTTGAAGAATTGTTCACCAGACAACTTAGTACGTTACCGACAAAGTTTGATGAAAAATATAGAAGGTTGTCCTTCAGACAAAATCCAACCGATTGGAGTATGCAAGCAATCTAGATCCAGTTGCCATAGAAACAGACAAATACATTTCAACTATTTGCAGTCTTTTTTCGCCAATTGATTTGTTTATTTATCATTTTGTAAAAGGACATTTCTTTATTATTTCATGCGTCATTTTTTTCTTACCCGGAATTCCACAGGAACCAATCTTAGGAAGTAGATCATCAATCGCAATGTCGCCTTTCGTATCATCTCCTTTTTCACTCTCTATCACAATTTGGTAATCATAGTCGCTGTATAATTCGGCTGTACCATAACGCCACATATTACCCTGATTAGCTGCCAACAAAAATATATAGTGAAGATAGACTTACAATCTGTGTTGGTTTTCTTGTTTTACATTGCCGGGACATCCCGCAATTAACTACAACCAACCAAATCGTTATATGCATGTTACATAATGACAAGTTGAACTTGTCTTAAACTGTCTTGGCGAAGCAATGGCTAAAGAAAAACAATAGCAATGAAACAATATATCAGTGTCAAAGTAATCATAATATCCACATTTGTGATTAGGAAGTAACAATGATTAAGAAATAGTAGTAGTTACGAAGAAGTGATAATTGTTATGATGTATCAATGACTGAAAAATACCAACGGTTAGAATGTAGCAATGACTAAGAAGTATCGGTGGTTGGATTTTATCAATGACTAAGAAGTAACAATGGTTGAGTTGCATCAATGCCTAAGAAGTATTGGTGGCTGGATTGTATCAATGTCTACGAAGTATTGGTGGTTTGATTGTAATAATGCCTAAGTAAAAAGTATTTGTGGTTGAGTTACATCAATGACTAACAAGTATTGGTGGTTGGATCTAATCAATGACTAAGAAATAACAATGGTTGAGTTGCAACAATGCCTAAGAAGTATTGGTGGTTAGATTGTATCAATGCCTAAGAAGTATTGGTGGTTGAGTTACATCAATGACTAAGAAGTAACAATGGTTGAGTTGTATCAATGACTAAGAAGTATTGGTGGTTGAGTTGTATCAATGACTAAGAAGTATCGGTGGTTGAGTTACATCAATGACTAACAAGTATTGGTGGTTGGATTTTATCAATGCCTGAGAAGTATCGATGATTGAGTTGCATCAATGACTAAGAAGTATTGGTGGTTGGATTTTATCAATGACTAAGAAGTAACATGGTTGAGTTGTAACAATGACTGAGAAGTATCGATGATTGAATTGCATCAATGACTAAGAAGTATTGGTGGTTGGATTGTATCAATGACTAAGAAGTATTGGTGGTTGGGTTTTATCAATGACTAAGAAATAACAATGGTTGAGTTGCATCAATGACTAAGAAATATTGGTGGTTGGATTGTATCAATGCATAAGAAGTATTGGTGGTTGAATTGCATCAATGACTAAGAAGTATTGGTGGTTGGATTGTATCAATGACTAAGAAGTATTGGTGGTTGGGTTTTATCAATGACTAAGAAATAACAATGGTTGAGTTGGATCAATGCCTAAGAAACATTGATGGTTGGATTGTATCAATGCCTAAGTAAGAAGTATTCGTGGTGGAGTTACATCAATGACTAACAAGCATTGGTGGTTGGATTTTATCAATGACTAAGAAGTAACAATGGTTGAGTTGCATCAATGACTAAGAAACATTGGTGGTTGGATTGTATCAATGCCTAAGAAGTATTGGTGGTTGAGTTACATCAATGACTAACAAGTATTGGTGGTTGGATTTTATCAATGACTAAAAAGTATTGGTGGTTGGATTGTATCAATGACTAAGAAGTATTGGTGGCTGGATTTTATCAATGACTAAGAAAAACCAATGGTTGAGTTGTATCAATGACTAAGAAGTACTGGTGGTTGAGTTGTATCAATGACTAATAAGTAACAATGGTTGAGTTGTAATCAATGTCTAAGAAGTATCGATAGTTGAGTTGCATCGATGACTAAGAAGTACTGGTGGTTGGAATGTATCAATGACTAAGAAATAACAATGGTTGAGTTGTAACAATGACTAAGAAGTATCCATGGTTAGTATGTGTCAGTGACTAAGCAGTATCAGTGGTTAGGATGTTAGGATTAATGAATAAGTTTTAATGATACACCAAACGATGCCTTTAGGCAACGCTAAGAACTGATAATGACTGATATGTAACAATATTAATGAAAATTAACAATAGAAATCTTACACGACTTCTCCCATGTGATCGGGTTTTCTCCGCCGGTTTCAACATCTCTAGCATACACGCGTAGGGCACCAATATCGTCGCCATACATGTGGTACCAGAACTCCAGACACTCCGTGGTTCCTCCCTCTATGGTCATGCTAAGCAGTTTTGCCTTCCAGCCGGGAAGTCGTGGGAAGGATGTTTCAATGTACAGGTACCAACCTACGAATAGACAAAAAGAAACGAAAAATACTTTGTATGATAGTAAAATAGTAAACGCATTCACAAGGACTGTTATTACATTGCTGGTTTGGTAAAGTTCAATGTATGTATGTCACATTGAAAATATGGCCGTCGTTTTGCATTGAATTTGTGAATGTAAAGTGAGAAAGCGCTAACCCTCTGGCGTGCCCGTCGTATGATCTACTTTAGGACCAGTATTGTCCGACATTGTGCCGTCACGCCCTCTACGCCATCTCATGTTTGCATCATCATCGTTCGTCCAGTCACACCACTCGCGTCCTTCAAAATCGCACACCACTGTAGAGGAAAAGACACATCATTAATATACTATTTGTGGGTCTCATTGTCACGTGATATCTTTGAACAAGTACGTCATAAAATACGCTATTTTGTTATTACGATCGAAAAAATGTTGACTAACGTGAAGGGGGACATTCTCCTTCTGTCCATGAGATATCATCAATAGCGATGTCGCTGGAATCACCACTGCCGATCGCGGCTTCAAAGTGAAACTATAAGATAAATAACAGTAGTAAGTTAATGCCTAAGTTTTGTAAGTTACGGAGAATTCCTCTCCGACAAATTGTTTTAATAACAATTTAGAATAAAATCAGATAAAACCACTATTTTTAGAAAGTGGGTCCTGACCTGGTACTGAATATCGTCTATGCCCAGTGTTTTCTGATATTTATGCCATTGGTTTCCAAAGGTTCCGGTCTTTGAAAACACCACGGTGGGAACGAAACCGAGTCGGCGTTGAAATAGATTTAGTGTGCCAACAGTAGCGCCATACATGTGATAGTAAAACTCGAGACACATGGGTGACGATTTTGGCTGTGGATACGTGCTGATTAACGACCATGTGTGCGTATTTCCGATACCAGGAGCAACGAAGTAGGTTCCTGTTTGAAACAAGATAAAATAATATTTAATATGCAATACCAAACAACAATAAATTACATCTCATCATCCACATTGGATTATACGACTTGCTTCATATTAGCTTAACACTAATCTGATCATGTCGTGCACTGTTTCCCTACTGAAAGTATTCCAATGACTAGGAAAAGATGGTTTCTTGAAAACTCTCGATGGTCTTTGTCGTAAATAGCGACAAGTTATTATACATTGAATTATAGATTTACAAAGTTATCATTTATAAAATGCCATTTTTTGTTCTTCCCATCGTTCCATAATTATAACGTATGTCATCATTTACAGTTACTGGGAGTAGCCTAACCTTTAGATGTTCCTAGAGTATGGTCAGCGTCTGGTCCTGTGGCTTTTTGAGGTCCTCTCCCTGATCTCAACTCCCAGTCAAAAAAGTCTATTCCAATATCGTTTGGTTCCTGAAACCATCCACATGTACCACTTTCAAAGTCGCACGTAAGTTCTACGAGGTAAACATAGCAACGAAATGTACATTACTCGCGTTCGAATTCGTATCACAAATGATGTCGGCATAAGTGTTTTTCGGCGTCAGTTCACTTACCGCTGGCAGATTCGTCATTGTCGTCAGGGTGACAGTCGATGAACTCAATTTCGTCCACACAGATATCTGAAGTGTCTCCGGTGAAGGTGCCCAATAGTGGATAAGACTCGAAATCGAATCTCCATCCAGGGCCGTGGCTACCGACCACAACTTCGGCCCTTCTCCATTCAGATCCCTGATCGTTTTGACGTATCCACAAAATATACAGCCTCAGGGCATCTTCAGGGTCGGCCAAATGAAGCGACGTTATGCCCACCTCTTCGCCGCTGATGTGATACATAAAACTAATTTTACAGCTTTGTCCAATTTCACCGCTCATGTCGGTGACCATGAACGCAGCGAGGTAAAATAGAGACGACTGTCCCCTTATAAGCATGTAGTAACCTGTGAATACGTAATAAAACAATTGATTAGTTAAAGCGCATGTGTGGAGTTTATAAGTATATATACGCCTGGTCTAATATCTTTCAGACTGTTCCTGGTTGGCATCAACTATTGGAGTACACTAATGCCGATCTAGTAAAAGGTAAAGTTTCTGTATATATACTGTATATATGTAAATATTTCTGTCGGGGTGTGCACGAACCCCGAACACGAACAGCAATATGCACTAACTTGTCGAACAACGCGGTATGGCACGAAAGTATATAATTAAAGGGCGGCGGTCGTCGCCACGCATGTTTCTGGTTTGCGTTGATAAACGTTGACTAATAAACATTCTAATGCGCTATTTCAATTGAAATATGGGGTCCATATCTTCGCATGCGTTGCGCAACGACCACAGCCCTTTAAATGTCATACGCCCTCAAGCGACGAATCGCTCCTGTGACGTATACGTAACGTAGATGACCAAACGTAATGACAATCAAAAGGACATCGGGGTCATACTAGATTTTCAAGTTTGTAATTTGTAAAACTAAATATCAGGCGAAACACATTTCCTACTGGTGGTTTTTAAAGAGTCGGTCGTTGTAGGTTTCTTTTGGACTATTTTTTATTCCACCTCATCCCATCGCTCGTCAATGCCTATTTTTATCTAGCCGACAGTCTGTCACAATCGAGTAGGACCAGTCTATTGTCTCAAACATTTAAATTGAGTGCGACGTCAAATACTTCAATAAGTTCGTCGTCTGTCCGCTTAGTTTGGTAGACTTTCTTAGACTGATGACAATATGACAAGGCCTGTCCACCATGTAAGGTACTTTCATTTTTTTAAATGAAGCGGTAAAAAGAATTTTAATATTGATTTAAATACAAAACTGACCATCTTCTCTGCCTGCACCATCAATACCCGGTGCGTGTTCCGATGTATGTTCGGTCGTGTGATACCTTTCCCATCGGTATCCCCCTGAACTTGCATCCCTCCATCCACACTGACCATCCTCAAAATTACAAGTACCTGCAAAAGAGAGTGATTTTTTTTGTTTTCAATCATAGCTGTGTTTTTTGGAACATTTTGTGTAGTGATAAAAAAAAACGTGCTATCTAATAGCAATTCACCACATACCACATACTTGTTCGTCGATACCATTGGGACATTGTTCTTTGAAATCGCACATCTCATTTATTGGTATGCAGTAGTCATCGCCACAATGAATGTATCCTGCATCGCATGGTGATGGTTCCGTTGGTTCTGGTTCACCAACGGGTAGATCGCCACTATATTCCAGGCACTCAGGTGCTACTATTATGTCATCAAGAGCCACGTCACCTTTAAGACCCACACCAATAATAACCTCAAAAACAATCTGCAGTAAGGAGAAAAACCATCGGTTTTAATTAATTTAATCAGAAATAATAATGTTCATGCGATTAATATTTAGGAAGTGTGACAAATTGACTACAGCGCAGCTACACGCGTGACCGTAAATCTCGTGAGTCTACTTTAAGTGGTACGTACCTGAAAGTTGCTGGTTTCTGACAACATCATACTCTTTCTGACAAAGTAATCTCCAATGTTATCTGCCCAAGACCAGTAATGCTTCATCGGTCCGTTGATTTCAGTCCGTGTGTATACACTAAATAATCCTAAATGTTCGCCCCACATATGGTAATAAAAGGTCAACTGGAAACAACAAAACAAAATGATTTCGATTTAGAAGTAATCTCTGAATAAATCTGAAAATAGTTTACTATTTATAAAGGAAAGTACAATATTACGCACTTCACAGTCTCCTGGTTGAAAATTTGATGTGTAAAGTCTTGCTACGTCCCCAGGTCTTCTTGGCAACCTGGCATCAACATACACATAGTGTCCAATAGCGTTATTTAATGTATGATCCCGAGATGGTCCCGTTTGCATACTGATTTCTGACGACAATCCTTGATGACGCCACCAGTCAGCATCGTTGTCATCGCCATTTGTATAACCACACAATCCAACTTCGAAATCACAGAAGTGATAACCATCTACAGAGGAAAGGATTAATAGAGAATATACATCTGCATATTTCTAGCAAAGCGCGCCCTCTTGCGACTAAATGCATCTGTGGCGTAAACATGGCGTGTAAGTCGTGCCATTAGTACTTAGAAAGTGTATGTGGTAGTAACAGTCTGTAAAAGTAACTATGAGAAAGATCAGTTATAATGGATAAGGTGAAGAAGTTACGTACGCACTATCTGAACATTGCTCAGATATTATATTTCGAATGGCGCGAAGAAGCGGACAAATAACTTACCACAAATGTAGTCACTCTCGTCAGACTGGTCTCCACAGTCGTCTGTCAAATCACACGTCACGTCCGTACTTACGCATGCGCCGTTATCACATGTAAATTCTCCAGAGCCACAACTCCCAGTTACAGCTTTTAAACAGATTGAATGAAAAATGACAAGATAAAAAATTTAGCTGTGTGACAATATATTGCGAGATTTGTACGTGTGTCTTACACTCGTAAAACATACGAGAATAAGAACGCCTCACACATATAGTTATTCAGGACGTCGAATGGTATGGATATCAATATTGTATTTCTCTAGTTGTGGTTGAGTTTCGTTTGCACTTTTTTTACAGTTATTCGCGTAAGTAATTCTTCATTTTTTTATTCAGTTTCGGTCTTTGTTTTATAACTCAATATTGAGATAAAAACGATTTCATTGTAATTGTCAGGTAATATCAGTTATCTTCCATGTATACGACAAGCTACTAAAACTGCAATTGTCTCCGTTTAAAATACAAGCCCTGATTCAATGTTTTTAAACAAAATTTATAAAATTTTAAAAATTGAATTTGTTCTGTTGGACTTTTCTCAAAATGTATTTTGCAAATGGCTAGATATTACAATGACAAATCGTTTCACAAAGTGTCAAAACATTCCAAATACAAATATTGTATAATTGACAAACAACAACAACAAATACGTCAGTTGACAAACAATAGACTTAATCGATCAATTCACATGTACTTGGATCAGAGACCATAATGTTAAGATATTACAACTATACTACACAAGTGTTTCCAACATTTGGTCATATTTAGGATGAAGTCTTCTTCAGTAAAGCACAGCCCATAATAATTATTCAAAGTTGTTAATCATGATTCACGCTCACCATATTCAGTCACAATAAAATTACTATAGATGGTCACAATCGTGAATAGAAATATTTTCCCCAAGAGAGCTTTGTACTTGGGCGTAAATGACGTTAATTATCGATATAAATTATGTCACGTAGATTACATACCAGGGAAGTCGCAGCCAAATAAGACGATACCGTCGATTGCGATGTCGCCCCTCTCGTTAATTAATGGCGTTGACATAAAAATGAGCTGCAAAGGAAATAAGAAAATAAATAAATAATTATGTTTATTATCCGCCCATGACGATTGTAGATATGTTCATAGTTACATGAGTAAATAATTATAATCCGGTATAACCAATATTGAGTTTCTATCCTGTAGCATCCTAATATGTATTGTCTGTAATTGGGTCTTTTGAAATCCTGCTCACGGCTATATTTTATTTTATCGATACTTACCATCCAGTCAGTCGAAATGCGACCAATCGGCACAGTGGCGATATGCCACGCGTCACCTGCGTCACCTCTTGACATCCACAGGCGTGTCAGCTGTTTGTTTTGTACGAACCATAATTCCAGCTTACCGACGTCTGAAGAGATGTGCATACAAATAAACGTCAATTTATCAGAAGTGCAACAGTCAGGCAGCAATAGTACGAAGGAACGAATTAATTTTTTGCATTTCTGAGCATGTTACTGCGCATGTATGCAATGCATTGTGGGAGATAACTTCCCATTGTATATAATAAAAACTATGTCATTTTTTTTTTAAGTGTGAATAATAATATATTGACCTTTTCAGTCAATGTCATAGAGCAACAATTATAGATATGAAGAAATAATTTCCCCTTGAAATAATTGCAAATATTTTAATTTTGACTATTTAAATATTTAGATGGCATTAACCAATAATATTGAAATCATGATTGGCACAATGCCTAATATGGCATCAAATAATGTGTCCGATAACTGTAATCCTACCAACACAACCTTACAACGCAACACGTTATGATACAACCGTTACTCACTATCTCCATACATGTGATAACCAAACTCCAACTGGCAGCTAGAAGACGCTTCTCTGACTTTGGGTCCTATCAAGGTAGATCCGCTGAATATCGATCCGGTGTGTGCTTCGGCTAACATGTAATGTCCTGAAAGAATCGCAGAACTCATCATGATGTACTCCCGAAAACTCCCATTTTTTGGGGGGGGGCGCATGTTAATCAAAACAAATTAAATTATCTCTAATTATTCTATGAAAATTGCAGGGCTCTATCATAAATGGAACATGGATAAAACTGGTCAAAATTAATAACTCGCATTTTCAATTTTGTAATGACTAAATTTGCATATTTCATTTACATGACGTAATCACAGAAGATTTCATGACCTTTAAGAAAATGCAGCAACTCCACTCTATTCATCTATTGACATGCAAATTAGTGTATAAATGGTATATCTTGTATATATAGTGTATGTTTCTCAAATCTTATTCTACATTTTTCACTAAAAAAAATGTTATCCCTTTCAATTTCACCGTATTCATTTGATTTTTCAATGAAGGATTTATATTTACTTAGCAGTCACATGACTACACGAAAGCTGTATCTAACGTTACATCGATTTTTAATTAGCGTGTATTATGTGTTTTCATAAAACACATAGTTTGATATGGTCTAGAACAATTAATTAGTGTGAATTTCACTTGCTGAAAATCTCTACTACACTCTAAATGGAAATGACTACTACGACGTGCAATAGCTCTATATATATGTGTGTGTGTTTTAACATTGGGACTATATGGGGGCGTTGTATGTACATAGAAAGAGATATGGACCCACAACTATGATTATGTCAGTTATACTTGCAGTAAAATCTTGTAATCGTTTCATGATAATCACTAACTTCCCTGACACATGAACATAAATGAATAAATTTGTTTTGATTTCAAAAGTGTGGTACCTTGATCAGTGCCCGTAGTAAAATCATAGGATGGTCCTGTGCCCTCTGTTATCGTTGATCCGCTGGCCCACTCCCACTGGTAGTCACCTCTGCTAGAGTCGAAATAGCGACACATATCCACGTCAAAGTTGCACTCACCTGCAAAATGCAATGTGATTCTGTAATGTTGTATGTGAAAGTGCGATAAGACCGGTGACAAACACTTCCCTGATGGAAAATATAGTAGAAGATAGGCAGTAAAGAATCACTGTGACTCGTGGAGACCGATATTCTCACGTATGGCAACTTACCACAGTCCTTCTCATCCGATGCATCATTACAGTCTACATTCCAATCGCATCTCCTTGACGGATCAATGATATCGGAACCATCCAGACATTCAAAATCGGGTTCCTCTGGTTGAAACACACAGGGCAGGTTATACATGCGGGTGTCGTCAATTGCGAGATCACCAGCAATAATTCGATCAATTTCACCTTCAATTGCCATCTGAAAAGTCAATATAATATAATACAATGAAATACTATGTGATGATTTGCGACGGGCGTTAAAAGTAAATATATGTACTATGTAATCCACTTATACAATTTCTGATTGGAGATATGTGTCAACTTTACCCTATATCCAACATTTGACTCTGGTATAGGTACATCAATCAGTGCCTCGAACCACTGATCGCCCTGATCGCCAGACATTGTCCAAAGCTCCTCTTCTGTTCCATCAGTAAACTCTCTGAGCACCTAAAAGTAAATCCGACATAAATATTGAAATACAAAAAGTTTATCTTGCACGACAGTAAAGTGGATTGTAGACACTGGTTTTGTTGTAACAAAATGCTGGTCACGTTTTCAAAAGAAGGGGTCACCCTTGACAACATTTAATTAATTGTACAACAAATATTTCACTTACATTATTACACGCATAAAACACTATGCGTTGTCGACTGCATAAATCGACACAAGTTTTTCTTAAGCACGCCATCTATATGATATAGTTCAATTCGATCACGTTTGTACTGGTTCAAAATCTTACCTACCAATGCAGTTTGGCCGAAAACGTGAGCAAAATGAGATATATTTTGTCAATATTGTGTAAAATGTATTTAATATGATATTTAAATCGTTTTTTTCAATATGTTATATGCCGACATCTTTCGAGATAAATGAGTCAGTGTGTATTGTCACAAACTCGCATTGTACGATGGGAGCAAGCTTGTAAGTTAAAAAGAAATACTTAGTAGGTCAATTTAAGGAAAGATGGAAATCTGTGTGTTTTGTTTCCATCTATTTCATGGGAGTTCAAGAAACCTATGAATGTTCAGCAAATTAAAACTACTTTTTTTAAATATAACCCGTTGCCGATGTTGTCATGTATGGAAATTTGAATAGCGGCTTAATACCATAACGTAACATGTAACTGCATTTAAATATTGCAGCCTAACAATTTTGCCCAGAACTATAAAACAATATAAGCACAACTAACCCTAATATGTCCCGGGGCGTCTGCAGGTCCAAACATATGGTAGAACAGCTGGAAACAGCGATCTAAATCTGGCATAAATACATCGGAAACCATGCGTCCGATATCCTCCCTATCGGCGGGTAAAGCGCTTTCTAAGTACATGTACCAACCTAGGGACGTACATAACTGATTGCAGTGACAACATATTAAAAGCTTGGGCCAATAGCGTATTTGGGGTGATAATTATTGAATTCGACAAGGACTAATATAAGTGCTAATATCACATTAACGACATAGTGAACCCTACGGGAAATTAAATCTGGGGTAACTTTTGGGCACCAAATGAAACATTCGCTTCAAGGTTATTTGAATTGTATAAAAAACAACACCAGCGATAGAAACAATATATGAACTCATTTCCAAAATATAAATGTATCTTTCGATCTGAGTGACTCGTGACCTCCCAAATACTGGATGAGAAAAAATTGAATACCGTGTTTTGTTCCAGTCGTGTGATCTTTTTGAGGGCCAGTCAATTCTTCGAGTGCGGTTGCAGCACCCGTATATCGTATCCAGTCGAAGTCATCTTGCCCATTGCGAAGATTGGTCCAGGTACACTGATCAATTTCGAAAGTACAGCTAGCTGTGTAAAATATAGACTGAGTGACAATTAGTTTAATTTCGCAAATTGATGATGAAATTATTCAATAGATATCAGTCCGATACTAACGTACGGAACTAGTACTTTACTGACCCCGAAATCCACTGCACCTGGAATTCGTAATCTTGACGTCATCAATCGATATATCGTGCAATCCGGTTGAACCAATCTCGACTTCAAATACAATATGGTGGTCCTGTAGAGTCACGTGATGTATCGCGCCAATATGCCAGAACGCTCCTTGGTCGAAGTGGGTGCTCCAGATTGGTCCGATTAATGTCCCATTCAGCGTGTCAATATATACCCTTAGTTCACTCTCGTCGTCACCTATAACGAAGACGTGTTCTGTTACCAAGTAATATTTTCGCAGCAAAGGATATCTATCAACATATTTCACATTCGATATTTATTTATTTATTATATAACAAATCTATAAGTGTAATATAATGGACCTTGTTGAGATAATAAAGAAACTAACAGAGAACAAATAAACTTGTAGTCAAATATGATAGACCTATACCCAAATGACAGCCGAGATCTCGTTGGGTGTGGAAGAACCACCAGACTTTTTTTTAGCTTTTCGGTCTTTCACGTCGACTCTCATCCACTTCTTTAAACGTCATGATAACATGGGTCAGTAGAACAATGGACTCGGTGACGGAACAGAATGGAAGTCTAATTTTTTGAGGGACGAAAGCGAGTCTCGTGGCCCTTGCTCATAACGAGATCTCGGCGGACATTTGATCATCGGTTTATTGATTATTCATTCTAAAAATCACCATACCTTCTATGTGATACCAAAAGGTTATGCAACTGGCATCTCCCTTAGTAGCGGCATGTTTTGGGGAACGTAGTCTGCCTGTCTCTCCGACAGCGCCACCATCGGTGTCAACGTACATATAATAACCTGACGGTTTTGAAAAAAAATACAGATGTACTATTATTATCCAATATAAATAATTTTGCTCTTTGTCTTCTACATCGGCCTTTGCCGATAAGTTGTAGTATTAGTAAGTGGCAATCAACAATACTCGACTGAACTAAATTCATCTTTTGGCAGCGTGACGGATGCAATGACAAGTTATACATTGTTAATCGTTCAGTGTATTCATTGTTAAACTTTACCTTCTCCCGTCCCCGTTGTGACGTCATAGCCCAGTCCTGAGTGATGATCAGAAGCCTTCGTATCTGTCCAATCAAAATCATTTTTTGGGTCATTTTCATAACCACACCAGTCCGACGACTCAAAACCGCATTTTTCTAAACAGATAATAAATAATAATAATACTAAAACTGAATGTTTAACGAACAACGTCAAAAGATCGAATTCCCACAAAAACATCATAGACTTTTATCTCATTTTCAGGAATGGTCAACGTTATTTGTTTTATCATCATGAGCATATTCCATGGTCGGTTTATCATTTAATCAGTGTTTGCATGTTGTATATTAAAATAAACAAAATAATAAATTTAAAGCTTAGATCTTTACAAAAGTACGAACATGCACGCATTGAATGTATGCAGTAATACGAAGACTGTGTGAGACGATATATATTACTTCTTACCACGTGGGGGACAGCTGCCGCTGTATAACATAACATCATCCAGCGCTATAGAACCTACATTTAGTAAGCCACCAGTAACTTCGAAAACGATCTTGTAGTCTCTTGTTTCACCGGTTCGTACTTGTGCGTAAAGCCATTCAGCGGATAAACCACCTTCCCGGTGAAATATGGTTGTCGACCCTGCAAAAAGAGAGTGTATCAAACCAGAGGTACATTACTTGGGGTTTGCAACGCGCATAGTACTGTATGGTGACATCATGTCAAGATCCCATTCAAGTCTCATCTCGTAGATAGCGAGACTGATGCTACGACCTTCTGACATGACAAAGACGGTTTGTAATAAAACATTATACCACATGTATTACCACATTCATAGTGAAAAAAATGTAATACATAAAAAATGTACAGAAAATATAGTTATCGTAATCCGTCATATCGTGAGCAGCTATTTTGATCCACCTGGACATCCCAGTAACCTAGTTACCTCGGGCATGCGCATTCGAATTTTTCTAAGTTGGAACGCTTATGCGAAAGCGAGATTGGAACGGGATCTTGGTATCATGTCACCGTAGTTGCAAACCCCAAGTAATGTACCTCTGATCAAACTCACTGTTATTAATTAAGTATTTGATTTGTTAGCCACAGTTTGAGATGAAATTGTATGTGTGACATCGTTCTTTGGATGTCGATTTGGATTATCAAGGTTGATATAAACTGTTGCCATGACATTTGCGCAATGGTTCATCGTCGAAATGTAAGAATGGTTGACTGTATGCAATATTTAATTACTGTAAAGGGGTTAATTATTCACTGGGTTTTAATTTAGCTTATTTCGCTGACTGAAAAATGCGCTAAATTAAAACACAGTGAATATGTAAAATTTAGCATAGAACACATTATCTAAATGACGAAACCGTGAATTTAAAACCCACTGAATATGCCTGAAATGGTAAATCAGTGAAATTTAAACCCAGTGAAAATTAGTCATTTTACAGTACCAAAATTAGTTGTACGGCGTGTAATTTTCTATTTTCATATATTTTATTATAATTTATTTTATTTTCACTATTATATTTTATTTCGTTTTCACCATATATATTGATTAAATTAAGTCTAAAATACATTGCCTATCTAAAAGATTTCATATGTAAATGTCATAAAAAGGTCCTTAAATTCTACACAAATTTCAAAGTAACTGAAGATAGCGCTACTAACAGTGCAAGAAATTGTTCACGACGATTTTATACTTACTTGTTGTCTCGATTTTGACCTCCAGTGATCCCAATATGCTACCATACATGTGAAACCAGAATCCAAGACAGTATTCACCACTGAGTGTTGGGCTTTCTAGTCTGGCAAAACTGTTTGGTAAGAGTTGGGATATCTGTCGAACGTACGCGTAATATCCTATAATGTGAATATGATATTTCAGTCATTATAATAGATCACTTAATTCGTGTCTTGATTTTGAATTGCGAAGACATTTACAGTGGCTTCAAAGCGGAAATCATCTATAATCCAGGTCAAACTGAAAATACTGCCAACCATGGAGCGACATTGTCATATGTCATAATCTAAATGTGTGGAAAGCCGCATTTTTGGACGGTTTTGAAGATTGAAGTGGTTATTTTTTTACATTTTCTGGAACACATCAGAAATGGACAAAAGAAGAGCTGTTCGGGGTAACCGCACGATACATTTGAAAACATTACGGGTTTAAAGACAAATTTCAGTATTTCAGTTGTAACCAATAAAAGTAGTCAACCAAACCAACGCTGTAAATATTGTTAAAGTATTGTAAGTGAAAATAACGTTTTCGTTTGTAAAGCTCATTTACGCTCATGAACTTTTGAATAATAATCTTCCGATGCGATTTCTTAAATGCAGCTACAGCAATGACAATGATATTCATTACAGGTAGAAACTTGAATTTATATTTCATGAAAAAAAATTGCATGTTTTGATCAAAAAGGACAAATTGTACAATATTCATATAATGCGGAAATGAAGCCGAAAATCTATTCCAACAATTCCAACATATGAAGATCAAAGGCGCTGATACAATTAACAATCAGTCAAATATTAAAAGCACATTTAAATAAGTGCGTTTTCAGTCTGGTCTACTGAAGGACTAGAACGAACAGACAGAGGTAATTCATTAAAAAGTTTAGGACCTAAATTTTCAAAAGCACGGTCTTTGTATAACAACTTTTACTTTTCACTACTCATCTGACTTCGATTCAGATCTTAAACTACGACTCGGTACATAAAATTCGATTAATTCACATAGATAATTTGGGGCAAAACCATACAAAGATTTATACACAAGTAAAAGTAATTTGAAATTGATTCTTTGTACAACTGGTAACCAATGAAGTTTAATACAAATGTCTGTAATGTGGCCATATTTTCGAGCACGAGTGACAAGGCGTGCTGCTGCATTTTGTACACGAATAAGAGGTTTTATCTTAGTTACAGGGAGACCAGACAATAATGAATTACAGCTGAAGCGAGAAGATATGAAAGCATGTACCAACTTTTCAGTATCAGATTGGGATAATGATTTACGAATACGATTAATATTTCTTAGATGGAAATATCCAGATCTACAAATAGTAGAAATGTGTGTTTCGATAGATAGCTGCGAATTAAACAAGACACCTAAGTTGTTAGCACTTGACGAAGCACTAACCAATTCTACACCAATTGCGATACTAGACAAAGGACATGAGTCTTGTGAGAAACTCCGAGACGACATGGACACAAATTCAGTTTTCGACACATTCAAAAGTAGGAAATTACAAGACATCCAATCGCTAACATCTTGAATACATGTTTGAAGTATCACCCGGGCGCGAATTTGATCATCTTCAGAAACCGATAAATAAATCTGTGTGTCATCGGCGTAGAAATGACATTCTACGCCGTGACGTTGCAATAACTCGCCCAATGGACGCATGTACATTGGGAACAATAATGGCCCTAAAACGGAGCCCTGTGGAACACCGGTTTCTAATATATACGTCATATCAGAAAATACATTTCCAATTTTCACTTTTTGAATGCGGTTACTCAAATACGACTCAAATCATTTAATGATGAGAACATTTAAACTAAAATTTGATATCAACCTATCGATGAGAATCCTGTGATTCACAGTATCAAAAGCGGCTGAAAGATCCAAAGGTACGAGAGCAACTGAATACTTAGAATTATCAATACTGCATAGTACATCGTTAGCGACCCGCAAAAGAGCCGTTTCAGTGCCATGTGCGGTCCGATACGCTGATTGAAACTCTTCATACAACGAATAATTCTCTAAATGTTGTTTAATCAGCGCACATTTCATTTTCTCAGGAACACTTCCAGTGCGAAGTGATTCATTTATGATATCTGTTATAGATGAAACCAGGATAGAAAGGATCTTTTCCTCTTTTAATATATTAGTGGGTAAACAGTCCAAATCACGCGAAGCCGACGACGATTTTTTTATAATTTTAATTATTTCATCCTCCATGGCTGGTTCAAAACATTCCATTTCATCACCAGAGAACTTGTGCAGTTCGTTAAAACGATTTCCATTCAATAAATTTAGATTTAGTCCTTGATTGATTTTCTTAATCTTATCCACGAAAAACATGCTAAAACGATTTTGTTATAACGTCTCGAATATGGAACTATGTGTATTTGCCTGAAATTCAGAAGACGATTCACTTTGAATATGTCGGCAATGAATCGTCTTCCGGTGCGAGACCACATAGTTCCATGTTCAAGTTTTTAGCAGAATAATGAAGTCGTGTCTCACTCCATTACGAAGGGGTATGTTCGCTTAAGAGGTTCAATGTTGAAATGGAATTGACGACAACGGCATACAACATAGTTACAATTGTAGACTCAGTTGAAATGATATAATAAGTGGCGTATTCTTGCTCAATGCTTGCCCGGTGATCGTGATCGTTTGGAAACCTCAATAAACAAAGACATAGGAAACATAATGAAACGTTTTTGTTCATATTAGACCCAGATGTACTCTCTAAATTCATTTAATCAGAATGGCGCCATAACAGCATCCAGTACAAGAACCGTAAACATCCTCAAAAACACTTTTTTGCATAGAGTTGAAGAGAGATTTTAAGTTGCATTCTTTGAAGAGAGTTTAAATCTTACCGTCTTGTGACCCAGTCGTGTGGTCGGCGGGTGGACCAGAGTTTGTTACTCCCTGTGATCCTGTATCTCTCTCCCAGTCTCTGTCGTTGTCGTCATCGTTGCTCCAGCAACACCAATCAACTTCAAAATCGCAATCACACTCATGCGCAGTCGCATTATGCCACTCTGAAAGAAAATTGTGCCAATATTTCACATTATCCGCAAATCAGACACTGAAATCTTATCAGTATATATATTTGAGTTACAGGGATTCATACCAATAACAGGGATCAGTCACTTTTACCTCTATATTGATTATATTGTTATTTGTGTTTATTGTTGATGTTATTTTGGAGCGCCCCCTAGAGATATAGATGGTCCACCTGCTGTACAAGCGATGCAATGATGGTCAGATTTGTGCTGATATCAATCGTAACTTAGTGGGTTTATTTGGAGCTATATAAGGTGTTTGTGATGTCCGATTTACGACATGTTGTATTCCATGTTGTAATATATGAATCCCAATCACGAAGCAGCAATTACTGCTGAAACCACTGAACTGTTTTTTCAGCCTCTGAGTCGCCCCTACTGCGCAACTGCCAGGCCTGATGAATCGGTTGGCTGTCACGCAACTAATCACTGGCTGTCATCCAACTTTTCAAACGAAAAGTCGACGCGCCAAAAAAAATAAGTGTAAACCACGCCCTCCAACGTCACGAAGTTACGCCCAATGACCCGACATGACCTCCTAATTCAACCAATCAAATACGCGGAACAGTCGAGCGCAAACTTTCATTCTCGATGTTTATTACATTGCATTGCGTTGCATGGTGAGTTTAGTGTTTTTTTAGAACAGAAATGATCAGAAGTACTAAAGGT